AGAAAACAAACGAGAAGTAAAGAAAAAAAAAAAAGAAAGAAAGGAAGAAAAGCTGAAGAAGGTGAAAATCCTAATTATAAAAAAAAACCCAGAATCCCACAGAGTCACCTGAAGCCCACCCAGAGTGGAGATGGTGACTACACTGTCCTGACTCAGTGTGCATGGGGGATGGGAACACAGCTCAGGTAACCATAAGGCAGTGAGCTGCTTTCCTGGCAGAGTGGGTTTGGCGCGCGGCACCCTGTGCCCATCAGGACTGGGTCTGGTTAAGGAGGACTTCCTTAAGCCAACCAGGGTCTGAACCAGGTCATAAGCTTTCCAGTGAAGGTCTCCAGTTATATTTCTATTAACAAGGACAGAAGGAAAGAAATGCCATTACAAGTGTCTTGGAAACACTTTGTCATTGTTCCAAAACACTTGCTTCGAGTTAGGCATAAACTAAGATCAAATCGTGCAGAAGTGTTTTAATGCTTTTACAAATGCAAGAAAGAAACCAGCTTGTGATTATGTTAAAACTGCAGGGTTGAAATCAAAAAGGAACCCTAACATGCAGATCCTTCCGGGAGAGATGCTAGGGGCTTGTGCAATGGTCCGTGTGACAGAGAGCTCACCCCTGGGCAGGGCAGAGGCAGCCCTCCTGGAGGTGGTGTTCATTCCAAGTAAGATCCAAGTCCGGAGGCAGGGCGGGAGGTGAGAAAGCACTGTCGTCTTCCTTGTGGCTTGCTTGGATGACCGAAGAGCATCGTTTCATTAAAGAAAAGAAAAATGGATGGTGGGGACAAAGTTGATCTCATAATTTATGAATGGGCCCCAACCAGAGAAGGATTTCACTGCAGTGGCAGAATGAACACAAAGAAAGGACTTGAGAATAAGTCCCAGCATGGAGATTATTCAGTAGAGATGTGAGAAATGCAGGATGAGGTGACGCGAGCGGCAGTGCTGGGGCTGGCACCCTGTGGGTGGGGCTTGGCAGGGGGCCTTGGAGCCCTCCCTCCTGGGAAGCAGGGACAAGGGGGCGAGGGCAGGGCAGGGTCAGGTGGGTGGGAGGGCCTGTGTCTCGAGCCTGTAAGAGCTGGGGACTGAAGGACCTTCCCTGTCCCTGCTCTGCTCGCTGTCCACACCACTTCCCACCACCCGCTCCTCCCTGGCCTTGCTTGGCTTAATCCACATCTAGCTAAAGTCAAGGTGCTCTGTCTATGAGACTTGTGGCCCCTGCAGACTTGAAGTTGGGCCTGTATTTTCTACTCACTTCACAGTCACAGGTGCAGGAACAAGCTGCCTGTGATCTTTCTCCTACAACCACTTTTTTTCCTCCGACCCACTCCGTTAATTTCTGAGAGAGGGTCAGGTACATTTGTGATTTTTTTTTCTGTTCCTCCCTTCTGTCAGTTTCTGTTGCATGTGTTTGGAAGCTCTGCTATTAGGTGCACACCATTTAGGACTGTTAGAGACCAGAAAGCGGATAGTGGCCCAGTTCCTGGGAATCCCAGCCCCTTCCCCAAGGTAGTTAGAATAACCCTCCCGCTTGTCAGCATATGAAGTTACTCGGCCCATAAAAATTAACCGTCTCATATCCTGGGGCCTCTCACCTTCTGAGATGGCCTGCAGTCTGTCTATGGAGTCTGTACCTCACTGAATAAATCTACCTTCAGTCAACTACAGCTCGCTCTTGAATTCTTTCCTGTTCGAAGCCAAGGACCCTCACTTGATGGGGCGTGTCCCAGAGACTCACCTGAGACCTGGGACACAGCCATCCTCTGAAGCCCCATTTTCCTGCAACAATTGCATTAGCCAGAAATTCCAGAAAATATTAAGTAACACTGGCTTAGAACAAGCAACTTTCCTTTAGCTCTGATTCTAACAGGAATGCCTTGGGTGTTTCAGTATTAACATTTATTCTCGGAGTCGTCAAACATTTACTGAATGTATTCTAAGAGCTAATTTCTGTGCTGGTGCCAGGGGTATAAGGTGAAGAGAACACACGCTCTGACCTCCAAGAACTTAAAATTGGTTTTGTATAATGTTCAATGTAGCCATTTTGTCACCAAGGGCAGAGGCAGCCTTCCTACCTATTTTAGATGTGCCATTAGTACTGGGTGACAGGACATGCATTTCCCAGGGCTCTTTTGAGAATATCATGCAGTCCATCTCTGCAGTATGGTCTTCTTTTGAGGTCAAACTTAGGGGCTTGCTACGTATTCTGATAAGCACCTATGGACAGTCTTCATCCCAGAGGGCAGCTGGCTGCCAGTGCTCTTTACCATGCTTATGCCTCTGAAATGGCCTTGGTACCCATCCTCACAGAGCCACTTCCTGCATCATTCCATCTCCAAGAGAAGTTTCAGGGAGGAAAGATGCCTTTGAAAGACGGTATATTGTGAGTGCAGGAAAATCGGGAAGCTGGGGCACTTTGTACTCTCAGGTACTCAGGTAAATAGGCATCTAGTTCCCATACTTTGTGCTAAACCATTAATTTAATTTGGGAAACAGTAGAGTTGTGCCCCTTCCCAGGGAAATGCTCTTTATACGCGTTGCTCCGAGAACGGTGTGGGGGAGGGGCGGGTGGGGCGGCATCCCCTTCTGTCCTGGGCACTGCTGGCTGCTGGAGCCTCCCACTCCCTCCTCTCTCTCGCTCCTCTAACAGGACTCAGACGCTCCTCTGAGGACCCACTCACGCAGCCCAGGTGCTTGGAGGGGAGCTAACTTCTCTCCCAGCTCCAGCCCAGAGCCCATCGGGACATTCCCTGCTCGTTTCCAGTGACTGGTTCAAGGCTTTCTGGCAACCCATGTGGGGACCCTTCCTGGGACGTGGAGAGGGGTGCCCCATCTCCCCTCTGCACGTGATGTGAGCACATCTGGGACCGTTCCAGCCACGCCATCACCAAGAACAGAGCCAGCCCTGGGATCACGCTGACCCCAGAAAGCCGGGCCCAGGGAGAGAGGCGGCAAGCCCAGGTCTGAGCGGCGTGTTCAGCTGCCCCGGACTCCCCCTCTCTGGTGTGGCAGACACGAGGCCTGCCTTCCCTTTCCACCTGACCGGAGGAGTCACAGGCACGGGTGACCAGCCACTCCTTCTGCGTGCTGTGCTCAGAAACTGCTTCGACCTCGGCTCCTGCTCCGGGACGGGAGCCCTAAGCAGGAGCACATCCTGCTAATGTCACGTCCCCAGGCTGAGCGAGCGGGCAACTCACGATTGGCCGAGTCCAGGAGAGGGTTCTGAAGGGAAAATGCCATGTAACTGCCTTGGACTTCTTAAAATAATCTTTTCTTTCTCTTTTTCTCTGTTCAGAGAGACAGAAATAATGACTCCCAAGACAATGGTTAAAGATACACACCTGAGAAGACCAGGCTCTTGGCAGCAAGGGTCTGGTGGGTGCTGACGCCTGGTACAGGAGCTGTGGTGTAGCCCACGTCACTGTCACAGTGTCACGGTGTGCATGCCACCCAGCTGCTTCCTTCCCAGCGTCTACAAGGACCTGCCATGAAAAGGTGCTCTGTAGCACTCAGACCATATCCTCCTAGGTCACGTATTAACAACATCACACAACAGTGGCAACGGGACACGCTCTCTTTGCAAAGTGAAGGTTGTTTATTGCTCGTTATGAGTTTGACAGGCAAGACCCGAGACAGGGACCATCATACCTCCAGGTGACCTTTACCAAATGCCTGCATGGAAATGGATGTTGGAATGAACGTGGCATGCATGTGTGTGTGCGTGTGCATGTTTTCCCGGAGTTCTCAGTTTTTCCTTCCTGGAGAAGCAGAGCCCCCACCCTCCCGGTGGTGGGATGGAGAGAGAGAGGGTGGGGGATCTCTGCTGGGGCCCTGTGCTCGCGTGTCACCTCCCCTCACTCCCGACCACACCCGTCCGGGGTTCACTGCGCTCACACACATTTACACATGTTGAAGAAAACCAATCTGCTGCATTTTCTTATAAAATGAGATGAAAAAATAAACTTCAACACATCTTTTCATGTGTCACTCTTCTATAAACTTTTATATATGTTAAAGCTCTTCTTTTTCTTTTCAATATACTCTACTTAGAAATTTTAAAAAATAAACTTTCTTTTTGGGTACCTTTCACTTCCTGTGTTCGCCTTGGAAATATATAAAATACATCTTGCTAGAACTCTTTTGTGCAAATAATACAACATAAATAATATTAACATTTCTGTTATAAAAAAAGAGCATTTCGAGGTTTCCACTGCTGCCACCGTCAGCTACAGTCCCTGGAAGGTGCTTCTAGAAGCAGTCTGTGGTCTGTCCACTCAAGCCCCGCAGGTCCTGGTCTGGCTGCGGGCGGCTGGCCAGGAACTCACCGTCCCGCTTGCCCATCTGTAAACCACTTCGGGAGAACTGGAGGACACTTCCCAGCCCGCTGACCAGCGAGAGGGAGGAAATCCAGCTGAGGGAGCTGAAGCTGGGGAGGCTGAAGATGGACGAGAGCGGGGCTGCCCTGCTGGTGCTGGTGGGCTTCCTCCTGGAGTACCCGGGACAGCCTTCCAGGACCACCTGCCCCCGCGAGGAGGCCCCCGGGGTCTGGCCGCTCAGCCCTTCCAGCAGGGTGTCCTCCCGCAGAGGCACGCCCATGTCCACCACACTGGGCTCCCCACTGGCCTCCGGGGAGCAGGCCGGCTGCTGCGCATGCCAGGACGCCTGCGAGCCGCAGTCCTGAGAGAAGGACCCCGAGGCTCTGAGGCTCCTCTGTTCTGATGGTTCAGTCCTCGGTTCTCCTGGAACATGTCCCTGAGCAAAGGTCCCTTTGGGAGCACTGAGTTTCTCAGGAGACCTCTTGGCCAACTGGCGTGCCAGCTGAAGTTGGGTGGGGAACAGACTCCCCTGCAGGGCTTTGCAGAATAACCTGGAAAGAACACACAGAAAGGAGTCAGCTATTGCTCTGCTGGTGCCTTTGTGCTTCTGAGACTTGAATGGAGCAAGCAAAATGCTTTCAGAGCTTGCGAAGGGCCTGACGGACACTGCCCCCGATACCCACCTGGGCAGCAGCGCGGCGACAGGCGCCATGAAACAAGTCAAGTAAAACACGGGGTCGCCCATCAGCGTCTGCATGGTCCAGTAGGGGTTGGATGGAGGGTAACAGGTCGCACAGGAAGCATTGTAAATCAAAGCCACGGTGAAAAATAAAAGGATGCTGAAGCCACAAGCGGTCCAGTTGAGCCAGGTCTGAGGGGTAAAAGAGAGAGACAGAGCTTTTATTTCAACAGAAGTGCACCGGTCCTCCATGGGAGGGTGGAGTAGAAACAGGACGGCTGGTGCGGTGGGGTGAAGCCCTCGGAACCTGTGGACTGGCCTGAATCCAGTTTGGGGAGATGGAAGGCAGGAGCGGGAGGGAAAGAGAGGGGAGGGGAGCCTGGTGGGGGTGGTGTGCAGGAGCCCAGGGCAAGTGTGGGCCACGGACCGGGCTGCTCCCACACCAACGGACTTATGGATCTTTTCTTGTTCTCATCTCATCAGGCCGGCTCCTGTCGCCTCAAAACCCGGCTAGACTACTGGGAATCTGCACTGAAGGAAGCGTGGGGCTCGCAGACCAGCCCGATTCTGGATCACGCCCCCAGGCCTTACCCAGGTCTTGGTTTCGATGCCCAGGTGCAGGAGGAAGGTGAACAGTGCGATGGCAGTGATGGGGGTCCCCCAGGTAAACACGTCCGCGTCGGAGTCGTAGTAGGCCTGGAAGACAGCGTGTCAGGGTCTGTGGGTCGCTGGAGGCCCCCGCCGGGAAGGGCGGTGCCATGGGCCCACTTACCAGGTAAGGGATGAAGAAGCACACCAAGCTCTGGAAGGCGGCGTCAGCCATGTTCAGCCAGAACGTGCGAGGCCGGTATTCCTGGGGCACAGAAACAAGCACAGCAATGGCAGGGACGCCCCATCTCCCCCAGCGGCTCTCCAGGCTGCTACCGGCCGCCAAGGCACAAGCCAAGCACCCCGTGAAACGCGCTAACTCGGGACTTTTGAAGAGCGAGGCCCCGGGGGGCTGGGGAGAGGAACACCACCTAGGGCCTGCAGAGGGCAGGCAACGGAGTCACTCCCCGAGCATCTGGACCCGCAGGACCCGCTGCTGCAGCACTAGGTCAACAGCAGAAAGATGACGACGCTTTCTAAATCCTGTGAGGGGCCGTTTCCCAGAGAGGGACTGGCGCCTGAAATTCCACCCCCTCCCCCAGTCTGAGTCCTTCCACTCCTGCTTTGTCAGGGCTTGGCCTCCCCTCTGACTGTTGGACCCCGTAGCATGTTTCTTAAAAGTGAGTTCTTTAAAGAGAAAAAAAAAATACCATATGATATCACTTACACATGGAATATTAAAAAAAAAGACACAAATGAACTTACAAAACAGAGACAGACTCACAAACATAGAGAACAAACTTATGGTGAGCAGCGGGGGAAAGAGGGTAGGAAGGGATAAATTGGGAGTTCGAGATTTACAGATAGTAACTGCAGTATGTGAAACAGATAAACAACAAGGTCCTACTGTACAGCACAGGGAACTATATTCATGTCTGCAGTAGTCTATAATGAAAAATATGAAAAGGAATATATGTATGTGTGTGAATGACTGAAACATTATGCTGTATGCCAGAAATTGACACAACATTGTAAATGACTATACTTCAATAAAAAAAGAATGCAAAAAAAAAATTTAAAAAAAGTGAGTTCTTTTAAAATTACATCATGGATGTTTTCCAATGTTCAAATCAAAAAGCTGCCTAGCAAGGGCAACAATGACCTTGAAATGGACGCATCACGTCCTCATCGTCTAGGTGCCCACGTCTGCACTCAACCCCGCTGCGCTCTGAGCTGCTGGTCCCGGCACTGGCCCGTGGGACACGCAGAGCGGACGGGAGGGAGCGATCCACGTCGGGCCCCCG